TAATAAAACAGGTACATCTAATTTAACAAATATGAATAAATTGCTTAACTTATTGCTTAAGAAAAACAATCATCTGATATAATTTGGTACGTCTATCAGTATATAACAGAATCCTGGTGGTGCAGTGGTTAAGTGCTGAGCTACTAACTAAAAGGTTGGCAGTTCGAACCCACCAGTGTCTCCACAGGAGAAAAGACCTGGTGATCTGCTGTCTTAAAGATTGGAGCCTAAGAGACCATTTGTGGCAAGTGGTTAAACAAATGAGTTGTGCAGATGGTTAAGCACTGGCCTGCTAACCACAAGGTTGGTGTTAACCCACCTAGACACACCTCAGAAGACAAGCCTGGTGGTCTGCTTCTCAAAGGTCACAGCCTTGAAAACTCTACGGAGCAGTTCTCCTCGGCACGTTTGGGGCTGCCATGAGTTGGAATGTGCTCTGCAGCAACTGACAACATCATCATCACTATATAAAAAGGACATCTGTGTTGACTATGGTTTTTACTTTTCTTTTTGTAACATTTCATTTGAAATTGTTTTTTCTAGATCCCGTGGACAAAACTGAAAACGCACCCCATCTGTTTGGTGAGTTTTGAAATCGCTCAAGAAGTAAACATTTATATACACGTATATCTAACTCATCTATTTTATTAGCTTTTATATTAATTTGCGTTCATTTTATTTTGATGGGACTTAGATTTCTTAGTTCTTTAATGAGAAGTTTGAATTTTAAAATGAGAAAGTGTAAGTTTTTCAGGACTAGAAGAGTATGTTACAAGTTGTTATATTTCATTGCATCGTGTAGCTCTTTACCATAAAATTCTTCCTTTTAATATCATTTGATGCAGACTTTTTAGCTTTACTGATTTAGTAAATTAAATAATGTGTTCTTTAACATACTTTGCTTTTTAAGGAAAATGGAAGAAAATTGATCACTTGTTTATTTATTTATTCCTTCCACCAAACTTACTGAGTGCCTGCTTTGTGCCCTGAGGGAATTTATATTTTTATATTTTAATTAAAGAGACTGGCAGTCATTAAGTAAGTAAAACAAATTAATTAAAAAATAATAAGAAAGGCTATAAATAAAATCAGGAATGAAGAAAGACTGAAGTTGTGTTAGTGATAGCTACTATCTTAATCACCTAAAACCAAACACTCAGTGCCATCAAGTTAATCACCACTCATAGTGACCCCTCCTTGGGTTGCCGAGGCAGTATCTCTATGGAAGTAGATCGCTCAATCTTCCTTCTGAGGAGCAGCTGGTGGGTTTGACCTGCCAGCCTTCTGGTTAGCAGTCAAATGCCTTAGGCACCATGCCACCAGACCGTCCTCTTAGTTACCTAGTGCTCCCTTAAACAAATACCACAAGTTAGTGGTTTTAAAGAATAGAAATTTATTTTTTCACAGTTCTTCAGGCTAAAAGTCCAAATCAGGGTCTCAGCTGTGTAGATTCTTTCCCTGTCGGTAGCCCCAGGTATTTCTTGGTTCCTTGGCATCTTCACATAGCGGCCCCCTTCATGTATGTATGTACGTGTGTGTGTATCTAATTTGTTGTGTGTGTATGTATCTAATTTGTTCTTTTTATAATTCAGAAGTGATTAGGTTTAGAACTTACTCTCCTCAGGATGATTTAATTAACAACAAAATCCTATTTCCAAACAGGATTACATCCATAGGTATAGGGGTTAGAATTCAGACTTATATTTTTGGGAATACAGTTCAATCCATTACAGCTACTAGGAACTTTTGGTTTTTCTTCAAGAAAAAAAATGTTCCCCTGAGAAAAGAGCTTTTTTGATTAAGTGAGTATTTATTTTGTCATTATTTCCTGCTTATTTCATATTTTTCATAGTGATATCTCATCTCAGGACTTAGATTGTGATAAGCCTTGGTCCACTCAAGTTTATGTCTTAATATATAATCTTAATTATCATTTAATAGTGTAGCAAGTTCTGGGATTGAAGATTACACCCTAAAATCTGATGATTCTAGCATTATATGGCTACTTCTTAGGTTTTTTTGTTTTTGTTTCACACTTCTGTGTTATACAGAGCTTTTCCACTAGACAGTAAGTGCCTCGTGGAAGGACAGAGCACTTTATTTTCATTTTTAGCATTTATCTTTCAGATCTTTACAGAGACACTTAAATGACTCTGCTCACTTACTGTTTACTTCTAAAGAAAGGAAACAGAAAATAGTCTTAAGTATTACTTTCATGATATACATAAAGTAACATATCTAATTAATTATTGATATTTTTATGCATATTTATTAGTCCCTGGATAAAGTAATAATGGAAATGAGTACATGTGAAGAACCTCGAGCACCTAATGGCCCGTCACCGATTGCAACTGCTTCAGGACAAAGGTAAACTACTTCCATTAATCTCTAATACTGACAATGGGAATGTTTTTCTGTGGTCAGCTGTGTTTCCTGCAGCTGTAGGACATAAATAAAATAAAAGCCCCTAAATTCAAAAAACTTTTGTTTTATTTTTTTTTGCATAACAAAATAGAAGTTTATTTCTTACATAAAGCCAATCTTTAGCTGAGAATAGAGGCTAAGGGGTTAAAGCTCTTTCCAGAGGGTCATGGTCTCTGCCACCTTCGACCTGGAGCCTCCAAGATGGTCTTAGGTTTTGACCCTAGCTAGCAAATGGTATAAGAGAGAGAAGAAGACCTGTAGGAGGTTTTTATGGTTCAGGCCTAAAAGTGGGCACATCAGTCCATCACACCTAACTGCAAGAAAGACTGAAAAATACATTGTTCTTCCAGCCTCCAATCTCTCTCCTTTAATCTTCCTCTGCAGTGTATTTGATTACCTAACAGGCATTCCTCTGTGTAAGCCCTTTGCCTGGTCTGTGAGGCCGTTCATATCTGTCTCCTGCCAACTGTCTTCATTTATTGCCCTCTCCTGCGTATCAGTGTGTCACAAAGACGTCCTATTCCCTAGAGGCACTGTACCTTCTTGTATCTCTATGTCAGGGCCAACAAACATTATCTGTAAAGAGCTAACTAGTAAATATTTTAGACTTTGCAATTCATAGAGTCTTGGCAACAATTACTCAACTCTGCTTTTGAAGTGTGAAACAGCGTAGATAATAAGTAAACAAATGGACATGACTATCTTTCAGTGAAACTTTATTTATAAAAACAAATGGGGGATGGATTTGGTCTATGAGCTTTAGTTTGCTGACCTCTGCTCCTTTTTAATTTTTGATGAAAATATACACAATAAAACATACACTTGTTCAACAGTTTTTATACATACAGTTCATTCACTGTGGTTACATTCTTCACATTGTGTCCCCATTCCTCACCATCTCTGTGCTTTAGAATTCTCATTTTAGTCTCATCTAGGTAATTCTTTAGCAGGGTACATTTCTTAAGACAGACATAATTTATTGTTGTTCAGTTTAAGAATGATTTCATGGAATAGTTTCAGCTCAAGATTCAAAAGTTATTTCTAGGCAATAGGTTTGGGTACCATCAAATATAATTCTAGTTTTATAAGTTGCAAAAATAGCAGATTTGAGTTTTAGTTTCTCTTACTCAGCTTGCTTTCCTTGATCTTAAGCACTATCGATTAACCAATGTCCAGTACAGCAGAAAATGGAAGCAGAAGAGCTTAGGCATTCTTTAAATCAATCTCTAAGTAGTATCTGTGCTTCAGTGGAGCTTTTGTGATTCTTAAGAATGAAGTTTGTGTCTTAATAGTTACAGACCTTTTGGATTACTCTGAGATAATAAAATATAAAATGTTCTCACTTTACGCAATAGATATATACAGATTAGATTGTTGTTGTTGTTGTTTTGCCGTCGAGTCGGCCCCGACTCATAGCGACCCCTCCTTGGGTTTCCGAGGCAGTATCACTACGGAAGTAGGATTGCCCAACCTTCCTTCCGAGGAGTGGCTGGTGGGTTTGAACCGCCAGCCTTCTGGTGAGCAGTCAAGTGCCTTAGGCACTATGCATTAGGACAGATAAAAATCATATGCTACTAAATAGAGGCTTCTATGGAGCTGTTTCATAAAGTCTTCTTGAAAAGTTCAAATAGCCCTTTAAAAATAGTCTTTTATAAGATTTGGCTGGTTTTGAATTCAATAAATTATTTCCTTAAAACAGGATTTCTGTATTATTTTTGGATTGGCAGCTATTCACAGAAGAATGTCCACATAGCTCTTAATGTAATTGGTGCTTCCTCAATTGCACAACATGGCAGACTCGAACATTTGTAGTGTTCTAGGTGCTGTATGGTGTAGTGAGTAAGACATTTGGTTGCTAACCAGAAGGTCAGTGGTTCAAACCACCAGCTGCTCCATGGTAGGAAGATAAGGCAATCTACTTCTGTAAAGATTTACAGCGTTGGAAACTCAATGGGAGTCACTATGAGTTAGAATTGACTTGATGGCAGTGGCTTTGTTTTTGGGGTCACAGTGAGTCAGAAATGACTCAGTAGCAATGAGTGGGTTTTTTTTGGGGGGTGCTGTGTAAACAATAAAACTCTTCTTGGGAATGAATACACATACTCACACTTTTCTTCTTGTTCACAAAGATTGAACTCCTTGTTCATAAAGATTGGTGCAGTCAATGAGAATGCCTGCAGTCTCTGATCAATGACTTTCTACATGGGAATCTAATGGTGATCCATTTCATTGCTGGAAATTGACTGAATACCAGGTTTATTAGATGTACCATTTATATTTGGACTGCAGGTAGCAGTGACTGGGAAAAGAGCTTTCAGGTGAACTCCTTTGTATTTTCAACATCCAGCAGTTTGATTTTTAGATTTAGATTATGATTCCAGGTTTGAGAGCATAGATTGGAGCCTTTGGTCTTTAGGTTGGTTAAATAAAGTAGACATACTTTTAAGATTAATTAAAAATGAAAAGAAAATCAGGGAAATTGATATTAAAGAAAGATATTATTTTAAGTTGTGGCAGAAATGAACCATTTTATCAATATAGGCAAAATGGTAAATAACCATTTACCAACTAAATTTATCAATATAGTTGGTCATAGTCATACTGATTCGTGTTTTTATAGTAGCAAGAGTTTATAATTTTGGCTTTGTGATCATATGATGATAATCCTTGTATTATGAAATGACAGTGTGGTTAGTCTATTTCAGTGTTTTCCAGACTTGCTTAGTCATTAACAGTCATTGAGGATACTTATTAAATCCACAGATTGTTTTAGGCTCCTTCTCTTGAAGTTATGATTCAGTAGGGTTGGAATATGGATCAAGAATAAGGTTTTTTTTTAATTGTGATTTGGATGAAAGTTCACAGAGTAAATTCACTTCTCATGCAGCAGTTCACATACACTTTTTCTCATGACATTGACTACAATCTCCCACAATGCAAAAGCTCTCCTCCTTCTTCCTCCCCATAGTTACCTCTTCCCTGTGTCCTTCCCTCCATGTACTCCTGCCCCCTGAGCTATGTCCCAGTGCATACACAGCCTTTCTATTCTTCCATGATTGTTCTCTCCAAGGAGTGTGTCTACCTAGTGTAAATGTTTACCTCATTTGTCTGTCTTTTGTTTGTCTGGAAGCAACAGGTGTGGGGTTCAATTCCAGACCTGAAGGGCAGCTAGGGGCCATAGTCTCAGTGGTTCCATCAGGCTCTATCGGATCAGCAAACCTAGTCCCTTTTTTTTTTCCCCAATGATTTTGAGTTTTGTTCCACATTGTTCTCCCACTCTATCCAGGATCTCCTACATAGAGCCCCTCTGAGTGGTTGACAGTGGTAGCCAGGCACCATCTCCTTCTTCTGGTCTCATAGTCGTATAGGCTGAGGATCGCATGAGGTACCAGTCCCTTGGACTAATTGTTTCCACGAATCTTTGGTTTTCATCATTCTTCTTTGCTTTGAATGAGGAGAGACCCATTGTTGCATCTAGATGTCTGCTTGCAAGCTTTTAAGATCCCAGTTGCTGCTCCCCAAAAGTAGGAGGTGGAACAGTGTTCTGTGTAGTATGTTATGTCAACTGAGAATTCTTACAGAACATACCAGTACACTTGTAGAAACATTGTCTGCCAACCCTATACATGGTCTTGGGCACACTCCCCACTGCATAGACATATCTAATTGTTCAGCCTGTCCACCCATCTATCTACCCATATATCCATGTTTGCCTTCACTGACAATGCAGTACTGTATGTGCAAAAGGATTCATCTTTGTTGTCTATACCTACCATGTACCTCTCTGTGTCTTCTAATCCTCAATGTCACCATGTTGATCACTTCCATTTGGTACATTGCCCTTCTCTTCACCCAAATCAGTACTTGTCTCTACCTATCTAACAATTTTCCCTCCCCCCCTCCCACCCCGGTAACTGACAAAGAAAAATTCCTTCTGTATATAAACCTTTCCTTGACTTTTTACAATAATGGACTAATACAATATTTGCCCTTCTGTGATTGACTTATTTCACTCAGCATAATCTCTTCCAAGTTCATCCATGTTATGTGGTGTTTTGCATATTCTACATTATTCTTTAGGGTTGCATAGTATTCCATGTTGTATATGTACCATAGTTTGGTTATCCATTCTTCAGTTGATGGATACCTAGGTTGTTTCCATCTTTTGGCTATTGTAAATAGTGCTGCAATGAACATGGGTGTGCATATGTCTGTTCTTGTCCTGGCTCTCTCTTTAGGATATATACTTAGTGATGGAATAGCTGGGTCAAATGGTATTTCTAATTCCAACTTTTTAAGGAATCACCATACTGCTTTCCACAGTGGTTGTACCGTTTTACAGTCACATCAGCAGTGTATGAGAGTCCCAGTCTCTCTGCATCCTCACCAGCATTTTCTGTCTTGTTGAACTTTGCTGTTAATGCTGGGGCAAGATGGTGTCTCATTGTTTTGATTTGCATCTCTCTAATGGCCAATGATTGTGAGCATTTCTTCATATGTTTGTGGGCCACCTGAATATCCTCTTTGGTGAAGTGTCTATTCATGTCTTCTGCCCACTTTTTAATTGGATTGTTTGTCTTTTTGTTGTTGCGGTGTTGGAATTTTCTATAAATTCGAGAAATCAGTCCCTTGTCAGAATGTCATTGCCAAATATTTCTTCCCGATATGTAGGTTTTCCTTTTACTCTTTTGGAGAAGTCTTTGGAAGCACATAAAGATTAATTTTGAGAAGATCCCATTCATCTAGTTTCTCTTCTGCTGTTTGTGCATTTTGGATTATGCTTAATAGTCTATTTGTGCCATATATTAAAACCAAACCAAACTCACTGCCATCGAGTAGTATCTGACTCATAGCGACCCCTCCTTGGGTTTCTGAGGCAGTATCACTACAGAAGTAGATTGCCCAACCTTCCTTCTGAGGAGTGGCTGGTG